CCCCTCCGCCTCTCTGCCCCCTGGCCGTCACGTCCTCCAGCTCTGTTTTGGGGTCTCTCGCACATGGGAGTTAATCTCTCCCGCTGCTGCCCCGCTCAGTCTCTGGCTTCTGCCGCAAGGAAGCAGCTGTCCTGTCCCTGCCGGTGTCCACGGCCGTCCTGCGGCCAGGCTGTGTGCTGGTGCTCAGCACGTTGGTGGCCGCACCCGGAGGCGGGCACAGCAGTGCAGGCAGCGGAACCGAGACCTGCCCTGGCCTCGCAGGGGAGCAGGCGCCACTCCTGGCCACACGTGGAAGGACTCGCGTCCCTGCCTTCAGAGGCTGACAGCTGGTCTAGGGTGGTCCCCGGCCCCGCATCCTGGGGCTGAAGTCCTGGCCGGCCCAGCTCGCTGCACCTCGCGCTGTTTTCCCGAGCGTGCTGTGCAGCCCGGAGCCCTGGGGCCTGCTGTCTGTCCTGAGCACAGCGCGATGGCTCGGCTGCCGTCCCTGTGTTGCGGACTGTGCTCTGCATGGTGGAGGGGCTGCAGCTCACCTGCTCACCCCCGTGGACGTCTGGGCCGTTTCCAGTTCTTACTGTGCAGTCTCTCAGCGCAAGCGACATGCGGCAGTTCACATTAAAAGGTGTTCCAGGGGACCAGCAGTTAGCGTAATGGCTATGTCGCTGGACTCCCATGTAGTCGACCGCGGTTCAAGTCCCGGACCAGGTGGCTTAAACTCACGCCAGGTGCGTGTGCGTGTGTGCCCAAGATCCCGAGAGGAGAAGGGATTGCGGCGTGGCCATCCCCCCAGGGGGTGATTTCTCACTTTCTGTCTTTCTGGCGAGCACACACGTCCTTTTGCAAAAAAACCTCTCAAAAAAAAGAAGTGTTCCGGGGACTGGCCGATGGTGTCATGGTGCTGGACTCCCACGTAGTTGACCTAGTTTGAATCCCAGACCCGACTGCTTAAAATTCGATGCCAGACACGTGCATGTGTGTGCGCACGTGTGATCTTAAGAGGAGGATGGAGAAGAGATTGTGGTGTGGCCGACCCCCAGGGGGTGATTTCTCGCTGTCTGTGTCTCCTAGTGCACATGCCCTATACCAAAAATCTCTCTAAAAAATAAGGTGTCCTGACAGTCCAGGACCTGCAGAGGG